CAACTTCGAGCATTCAGATGAATGATTGGTAGGTGATTGTTTTTCATTTTATTCTTCAATTTTATTATGTTAGATAATTCTTTTACAGTGTAATATTTTGATTCTTCGAGATTCTCTTCTATGAAGTTTTTATTCATTGCTATTTTTAGTTGAAACAACATTTGCCGACAGGTCATTGACAACATTTGCCGACGGATCATTGAAACACCATTCGCGGACGATGATTTGGTCTGGCCAGTTTTCTGCATTCATGAACTCAGCTGAGTCTGTTTCATAAATACAAACTCTGAATGCAGCGCTTGTCTGTTGAACATCGATTTTGTCAGAGTTCGTGTTTTGTGTGTTGATCGATGTTGTAGCTTGCTTTGAGCGGCGATTAAAAGTTGAGTTTTTGATTGCTGAGCAACCAAGCACCTCAATTTTCAATCCATTTATGTGTTCGCTTAACTCTTTTGCAGTGCATTGTTGGTCCAATCGACCAACGTAAAAAACTTTTCTTTTTGGCGAAGGTTTCATCGCTTTCAAATTTGTTTGTTTATCAGTTTGGGTGCCTATAACTGTTTTCATATTTGCTATGTTAGTGTTGTGTGTTTTTTTCTTTGTTTTCAACATGTTGATGTTCGCCACGTGTTGAACATTCGCCACGTGTTGAACATTCGCCACGTGTTGAACATTCGCCACGTGTTGAACATTTGAGCTCTTTTTAATTTTACGTTTTACAATCTCTGGCCAGTCAGATTGCTTGCTCGATTCGGTCTTGCAATCGGATTCCTGCTTTCTTTCTACTTTTGGGCTATTGTTAATAGCCGCATCATTTACTATTTCTCGGAAGATGTTTCTTTCTTCAATAAATAGTTCTTCTAATTTTTTTAACTTTTCGTCAAGAATTGACTCAAATTTAGCTTTTTTTGAGCTTGGAATTTTAAAAAGGTTGAGAGCAGCATACTGAGGCAATTTGCTTTCAATTTTGTTGCTCAGAATAGTTTTTATTGTTAGTATTAAATCACTAACCTTGTCCTTTTTAGAGTTTCCAGAACTGTTTGGCTTTATTTTATCATCTTTTTCTAGATTTAATGCATCTAGATCGCTGGTAAGTATTTTTTTTGCTATTCTAATATCTTCACAATTGTAGAAATCCATTATTTCGTAAATGAATTCCGCATCGTCAATTTTGTCAGAATTATTAAATAAATAACACAATAACTCGTTAATGCAAACCGCTCGCGACATCGTACCGGATACATACATACATCGTACATACATACATACATACATACATACATACATACATACATACATACATACATACATACATACATACATACATACATACATACATACATACATTGTTGTGAACAGCATTCTCTGTATGGGTCGTAACGATAAATCCTGCTCGGATATGGATAAACTAACACCTGATCGATTTATGTGCTATTTCAATGAAAAGTTAAGCAAGCTGAGAGATAGTGTCAACAACGATGCTCAACCGAGCCTGGCAGAATTCCAATCAGGTGTCAGTAATTGTTTGTTCTCAACGTTTTCTATGGTTTCTGAAGAGGAGGTAATACAGTTAGTTCAAAATTCACCTACAAAGTCGTGTCAACAAGATGTAATACCTACCCACGTATTAAAGAAGTTTATAAAACTATTCGCACCATTTTGGCAGGCCTGATAAACAGCAGTTTAAATGTGTGACAGTTTCCTTCTGGCTGCAAGCATGCTATCATAACTCCGCTGCTGAAGAAACATAATCTAGACGAAAATGATGTTTGGAACTACAGACCAATTTATAATCTGTCTTTCCTATCCAAAATTATCGAACGTGTGATTGCCAGGCAAACACTCAGTTACTTGAACAATAACAATTATTGCCGAAATATTAATCAATTATGTTGTTAAGTTCAGTTTTTGTTAGATAGCGCTTTTGAGATTTCTTTAATTAGCGCTTCATAAATGTTTCAATAATAATAATAATAATACATACATACATACATACATACATACATACATACATACATACATACATACATACATACATACATACATACATACATACCGACAGTGGTTGGTCCCAGGCTCAGCTGCCTGTGCGATTTGGTGGGCTGGGGTTGCTTAGCGTGGTTCAGCTGGCTCCCGTTGTTTATAATTCTTTTGCCGCTGCCACTCTCGACCTGCAGTCTTCCCTGCTCCACCGGTTTTTTCGTTGCCGCGATATTCTTCCCCCAGTGTCCGCCCCGGGGGACCGTACGCACGTCCAAATTTTGAACGAAGAATATAAAAAAATCTTTCAAAATTTGTTGTCTTCATGCGGCGACGACTTTTCCACCGCTCGTTTGTTGGCCATGTCCAGCGTTGCCAGCTGTGGGTGGTTGAGATCGTGGCCCAACACCTCTTTGGGCACCAGGCTTGACGACGAGTCTGTGAGATTTGCCATTGGCTTCAGACATGGCCTGGTCATTCAAGGGCGGACGAGTTTGGGCACCACGGTTTGGTTTGTCGCTTGGGTGGGGGCCGTCAACTACGTCACTCAGCGCTAAACGAATACATTTGTCGGCTCTTCTCCAAGGCTTCAATCCCGGTTCTCAAGGAACCATCCGGCATTTTTTGCGCATGATGGTAGGCGCCCGGACGGATGCACACTAATAACTTGGAGAGCCGGCAGATGTTTGGCGTGGAATGTTACGGTCCCTGGCACCCTCGCCGAACGATACGTAAACCGACAAGTAAAGAATGCGGTTTGGCCGCGGCCAGGGCAACGGACGAGAAAATGAAAAAATATGGGAATGCCCTCCCCTCGATGGAATTCTTGCCAATATGTATCGATGTTCTTGGCCCGATGGACCCCAACACCCTTAAATTTCTTAAGGCAATATGCAAAATGATCAGCGTCAGATCAGGCGACAGCAGGGAACTGTTTTTCGCAACTAACCACATTTCGTTCATTTTATATTCCATCATCAATTACTTTTCTTTTATTTCTCTTATTATTATTATTTATTTTATTCTAACATATTTTATTTTTCATGTTTTATCATTTCTCTTTCTCACTTTTTGTATTTATTTTCTTATTTGTTTAATTTTGTTTTACTGCCTTGCATGTTGTTACAGTTTCTGCGTCTGTCAGATCCTGATTTTAAAGAATAATAATAAAAAAAGGACATAGGACAAATCTTTTTCTTCTTTTGTTGCCCCAAGCGTGGGCTCAGAGCAGCTGATCAAAGTGACAGTATGGCTTTTTTCTAGGCTAAGTTGCATCCTCATCAGCCGAAGTGAAATACCAAAAGGAGCCTTGTTAACAGCCTTTAGGAAGGAACTGCGAATAGCAAAACCAACTCCACCCGTTCGCATTTCTCCTGTTGGTCGACCCTGGCAGAAAAAGGTGTAACCGGCACCTTTTTCCTCAAACTTTTTGCTAAGTGCAGCAACGTCGATGCCAGAGCGGGCGAGCTCATGAGCCAAAATTGCAGTGTTACCTACGTTCATGTCGACTTTCCTTGTCCAGCAATGTACGTACATTCCAAGCAGCAAGGTTCAAGAAATTTTTTTTAACAACTTTTGAATTTTTACCGCAGAGAAGGATGTCCAGACAACCGCGGCAAGCTGCCAAAATACGGATGAGTTAGCAATGTTTAGGACAATCTTTTCTAGTCCCCTTTTCAACTCTGAATAAAACAGTGCGTCCCTAAATAGGGCTGCTTCGTCGTCTGGAGCGGGCACCGAACACCACCGTAGCTTTCAATAGATGAGCGATGTACATCTCACAGACCGCCTACGTGCTGATTTGTGGCTAAACACCTCCAGTGGCATCCTCCACCTTTGTCCGTCGCCACTCTTTAATCGCCGTAGGACTTTGCCCTCACAATGACAGCCCAGGTTTTCTCAGCCGGTCTTCATATGAAAGGTTTCTGCAAGATTTTATTACACGAGTTGCTCTTCTCTGTACCTCTTCTAAGTCATCAATTAAGCCGACTCGGTATGGATTCCATGCCTGGACACCTCCAAGTGCAATCTCACCAACGACTTGTACATAGTTACAAATGCCTCGTCTGAAAAGTATTTGAAATTCCTGGCAATTATATCTAACATAGAGTTTACCTTGTGAATTATTTTCAAAACATGGCTTTTGAAATTTAATTTATCATCCACTATGATTTCGAGATCTGATACTTTCTCCACTATAGACAAATAAACTTGTGATTCACTACTATCCAAAATGGTATATGGAAGACGTGATTTATTGGAGCATATTTTCAACAATTATCTGAATTTAGTTTTAATCTCCATTTATTAAACCAATCAGTTAATTTTTCAATGTCACGCAGAAAACTATTTATATTCTTTTCCCTCTTTATTACTCGATAGATTTTTGAATCATCTGCAAAAAGTATAATGTTGTCACAAACAGAAGAAATGTCGTTTATGATAATTTTAACAATGGGCTCAATACTCCACCTTGAGGGACCCTCTTTTGAACTGTTCTTGGCTCCGATAAATCTTGCCCTAAAAATTCTGTTGCTGAAAAAGTTCTCGATTCATTTTACTATTTTTTATATTCATTCCATACTTTTCCAACTTGAATAGTAAACGACTATAAGAAACTTTGTCAAACGCTTTCTCCAGATCTATATAGACTACATTGACCTCATGACCATGATCCACTCCCTCAGTTACATTGTCCAAAAATTTCAAAAGCTGAAAAACTGCGGAACGACCAAGAACAAATCGAAACTGATCTTCTGAAAATAGATCTGTCAGGTTTTTAGCTGCGACCGGGAAATTAACATGCAAAGGGACTGAATACATTGTGATAGTGGTGATAGACGAATGGCAATGAAGCAGGTAAAAATAGCAGCCAATCAGCGGGGTGTACAGAGTTGTTTAAATAAGTAGACCCGGGGAGTTTTAAAAGAGAGAGAAAAAAGATATAGTTCGGAAGTGTTGGCGAAAGCTGGTCGATAGTAATTAGTGGTAGTTCAAAAACTCTCGAAGTTACGCTGGTAGTTCGTGCAGTTGGTGGAAGCAGTTACGTCTGTGGTTGGTACAGTTAGCGGAGGCAGTTACGTCGGTGGTTGGTACAGTTGGCGGAGGCAGTTACGTCGGTGGCTGGTACAGTCGGTAAAGCCGTTACGTTGGTAGTTATTAAATTCCATAGTAGTCAGGGCAAACCCTGATAACGAAACGACATGTCAATTCAGCAAACGTGAGTTGACAACGCGTTCGACAACCTACCCGTCACTTCAGCAAGCGTGAAGCGATATTACGTTCTACAAACGACGCGTCAGTTCAGCAACGTGGATTGACAACACATTCAACAAGCTGCACACCCATTCAGCAAACGTGAATTGACAGTGTGCTCAACAAACGACACGGCATTTCAGCAGCGGTGAAGTGACAACACGTTGGCAGTCAACGAGGCCTCCGCCAGAAGCTCCGAAGACAACGTGACAGCCGGTGTCCACATTCGCAGTCATCGCTACATTTCGGGAACGATTATAATTTTTATTGTTGGGAACTGTTGTTGAACCCTTACATTTGGTGCCAGAAGTGGGATATTTGTCAAAAAAAGTACGGAAGTACGACAGATATCAATAGCTGTGAAACGAAGTTCCCCAGCGTTGAGTATTAAAATAAACCAAATTTTAATAATTATTAATTTTTGAACGTGGGTGTGACGAAAATGAATCGCGATAATAAAAATAAACAAAATCTAATAATTATTAATTTTTGAACGTGGGTGTGATGAAAGTGAATCGCGATAATAAAAAATGGACCGGTCGACGAGGTTAAAAACAAATAATCAGGAAGAAGAGAGTAAATTAGACCCAGTGCAGGCACTGCAGATGAAAATAATGGAAGAAGAAGGAAAGTTGCGGATGAAGTTGGCGGAGGAAGCGAAGCAAAAAGAGGAAGAAAGAAAGTCGCGGTTGATGTTGGAGGAGAAAGAAAGAAAGTGGCGGATGAAGTTGGAGGAGGAAGACAGAAGGATCAGAAGAGAGACAGATATTCGGAAAATAGAACGTAAGGAAGATACAGAAGAACAACTCGGAAGAAAAATACAGCAGCAAAAGTACGCGATTGGAATCAAAGGACGAGTGGGGCCGATGATTGACATGTGCCCGTCTGACCCGCAAAGGATTGCACCATATTTCCAGCTCATTGAAGGCGTGTTTTAAAAGTTTCAAGTTGAGGACAGTCTGAAGGTTGAAATATTGCTATCCAAATTGGATGTAAAAATGAGGAACGTGATGAACGAACTAAATACTGACGAACGGTATGATTACGAGGTGGTGAAACAGCATATACTGCAACGATGTCGTTTCTCTCCTATGAAACTGCGGGACGAGTTTTTTTGGATCTAGGAAATCGAAGGATAAGACCTTTCCGGCATTTGCTGTCAGATTACTTAGTAGCCTCAGACTTTACTTTCAAAGTCGGCAAGCCGAATCATTTGACAAAGCGTGGTCACTTCTAGTGGCAGAACGTATGGAGGAACTGCTGCTGATGAACTTATTGGATCATATTCTTACGCGAGAGAGTGAGGATTGGTTTACACATGACCAGATGGCTGACATACTGGAGCGCTATGAAGCCAACATGGATATGATCTGTTCCACCTCTCACGCGGCCGGTTATAAGGTACGACCGATAACGGATCAGGATAATCTGAATACGAAATGGCAGAAGGCGGAGACAAAAAAGGGACCAGTGTCAGTAAGTGGTTGTTATAGCTGTGGTAACACCGGTCATTTTGCCAAGCATTGTCTGAGGAGAATGAAGGATGAACCAGTAAAACGGATCATAAAATGCCAGGTTAATCAGATGTTAGATGGTACAGTGAAGGAGCAGGCCCAGGAGGGAGTTGGTAAAAGGGTGCAAATTAGAAAATTCTTCAAAAGACACTTTGTGAAGGTCCAGGTACAGGGAAAACAATTCTGCGATTTTCTGGTGGATAGTGGAGCCGAGGTTTGTTGCATCAGTAAAAAATTGTTTGATGCTTTAAATCTAGAGCGGATGGGCCAACTACGGATTGTGGGATTGGATGAACAGACAGAGTAAGAAGGTTGACGCTACCTGGGTAACTGTGACTCCCCAGATAAAACACTGAAGTCATTGCACCAACTGTGGAAGTGTGGTGTGCCATTATACCAGATGCGAGCGAAAAGCTTCTTATCACACCCGGTGTAGTTGAACGTTTGAAGGAGACAGAAGAATATGCAGTGCCGAGGGTGAGTTTGGAAAGAGATACAAGAAATGCCTCGGGTAAAGCTATTCGAAGAAGGATAGAAACATTTGATGGACTAGCACAAGAAGGTAGAGGACGGATGTTTTACGATCCGGAGGTTGGGCTCACACAATGGGAACCATGGAATCAAGAAGCTAATAATAATAATAATGATAATGTCAGGCAGTCAGTGATCAGCAGATTCGAGGAGGAGAAGGAAGAAGTTGGTAAATGTAATAAATATAATTCAGATGTCGGTGGTGTCCGTAAAGCAGACGTGGCTGGGTTAGTCGAATCAGAGGTCAGCAGTACAGAGCAGGAGGATGACGAAGAAGGTGGTGAAAATGGTCAGTTTGATGACAATAGTAATCATGTTGGTAGGTCCGATGGTTGGGTAAGGGACAAAGAAGATGATATTGGTAGATCACCTAAGGACGAAATATGTAACAATTGTAATGTAAAGATGTTAAAAGCTGTTGGTGGACCAGTGGTAGAAGAAGACGACAAAGATAACAATAGTAATGGTGGGTTAGTAGTAGAATCGGAGGAGGTCAGTGATGAGGATGGCGACGATGAAAGAAAGAATGATGAAGGGGAAAATGACACCCACACGACAGGTACGAACGACTGCAAGGAAGTTAGAGGAAAAGCACAAAGAGGGTGCACCTGGGACGGAAGGAATTCATTCAAGAACAACGAAACTGTCCCTCACTGCAAAAATATTGGCAGTATGCTGTGGTCAACAAAAAGAACTTCTGTATTGAAGATGATGTTTTATATCACAAGGAAACGGTTATGGGTCACAAGGTGAGACAACTGTGTTTGCTCACGGGTAGGATCAAAACGGTATTGGAATTGGGGCATGATGCGCCAACGGCTGGACACATGGACACAAGTCGACCAGACAACGAATTGCGTTGAGTTTCTGGTTTACCGAAATGTCAAACAAGATACGGTAATATTGTAAATCATGTGAAACCTGTCAGCTGAGAGCTCCTACGCGGACGTCAAAGAGGATCCCCATCACTCCGATCTCGAGGAACGATGAAATGCCATTCTCCCATTTAGTCATGGACTGTTTCGGACCGATAGTAACTCCGGAAGCAGGAACCCAACTACAATACCATTATGCCTTGGTGGTAGTGGATTTGTTCACAAGATGGCCCATGGCATACCCCATGAAACGCATCAACGCCGTGGTCACGCGCGATAATATTTTGCAGATTTTTATGACTTTTTCTGTACCAAAGATTATCAGTTCAGACCGAGGTACCATTTCACCAGTCGTCTCACCCAGGAGATGTTAATGAGATTGGGATGCAGTCCACGATTCAATTCAACAGGTCATCCGGAAGCATCAGGAGTGGTAGAACGGTGTAATCAATCACTAAAATCAATGATATTCAAGTTAGCGAAAGATCGACCACGAAGCTGGCATCGATTGTTGCCTTTTGTCCTATGGAGCCTACGGGAGAAACCCACGTCAACGACGCATGTAAGTTTATTCACGATGTTATTTGGGACATTACCCGAGGTCCGTTATCAATTTTAAGGGAATCATGGATAGGAGACCGTTGTTCTCCTTTGAATATTGGTAGAATACCAGATGAGTATTTAAGGACTCTAAGAAACAATCTGAAAGAAGCAAAAACATTTGCGGAGGGACATGCCGACCAAGAGCAACAACGCTATACCCATCAATACAACTTACGGAGTACTGATCGACAGTTTCAGTTGGAAGATTTGGTCATCCTGTTGATACTTGCTCTGTTACGAAACAAGTGGTGTAACAAGTGGCAAGGGCCAGGAACAGTGGTGAAGGTAAAATCCCCTCAATTCTACGTGGTTGAAATTAACGGACAACGACACCATGTACACATCAATCGTTTGCGGAAATACAACAGCCGAATTGAGGAAGCCGTCGTTAGTAGCTGCGCTATACTTCTGGATGGTGAAGAAGATTTTGGTAAGTTACGGTCATACGAACCTCAAGGTGATCAGAATGTGAACGAGATAGATGAGTACATTGGGGGTATGTCACACTTGTCTGCGAAACGGAAGGTGCAGGTGAAGGAGTTGGTGAGGAGATTTCATCAGATATTTGCGACCAAGGTGGGGCTGTATACAGCGGTTCAACACAGAATCAGGGTAAGTTCTGAATTCAAACTCAAGCAAATGCGGACCTATAAGGTACCAGAACTACTCAAAAAGGAGGTGAAGGCACAGATCGAGATGATGTTAGAGCAGGATATATTGTGCCGTCTACTAGTGAAATGGCCAGTCCAGTTGTATGTATCCTGAAGAAAAATGGAGGAGTAAGACTGGTAATTGACTACAGATACGTCAATAAATATTTAGCTGGTGATGGCTACCCCACCCCTGACGTGCGGAAAGTATTGCAAAAGGTCAGTAAGGCTCAATACATCAGCAGTTTTGACTCTCGAAGTGGATACTGGCAGATTCCAATGGAGGAACAGTCAAAATATTTGACGGCATTTGTCTACGACGATGGGTTGTATGAATTTAAACGCATGCCGTTTGGATTGAAGTCAGCAAGCATCACTTCCACTCGAGCGATGGGTGAACTAACCAAAGACATGAGAAAATTTACTGAGGCATACATTGATGATGTGGCAGTTTTCTCTCAGACTTGGGACGAACATATACAGCATCTACAGATTTTTTGCTGTAGTGAACAAAGCAGGATTAACGTTCGATATAAAAAAATGTCGAATTGCAGAAAAGAAGATACCATTCTTGGGACATGTGGTGGGATCAGGAAAAATTGACATAGATCTTACAAAGCTACAAAAGCTGGACAATATCCGATCGCCTACTACGAAGAGGGAGGTACGAAAGATTCTGGGATTTTTTACTATTTCCAAAGTTTTATACCACAGCTCGCCAAAAGACTTTCTAGCATTACTGATTTGACTAAAAGCCGAGCAGGTAGTACGATACGATGGACGGTAGAACATCAAAGGAGCCTGGACGAAGTTACACAACAATTAAGAAACGCCACCAGCTTATACACTATCGATTACACGCGTTCCTTTGGTCTGATTACTGATGCTAGTGATCATACTATTGGTTGTTGCCTAGTAAAACAAGATGACATGGCGAAAGAAAGACCTGCTGCGTTCGCAAGCAGGAAGTTATCAGATGTGCAAAGACGTTGGTCAACCATTGAGAAGGAGGAATATGCCATACTTTGGGCAATACAAAAATTCCGAAGTTGGATTTGCTTGTCCCCGATCTATGTTTATACGGATCATAATCCGTTGATATATTTGACAGAAAAGGCTCTAAAAAGTTCGAAATTGATGAAATGGGTGCTGGCCTTCCAGGAGTATGATCTACATATCAAATACCGGGCGGAAACTGCGGAACGACCAAGAACAAATCCAAACTAATCTTCTGAAAATAGATCTGTCAGGGTTTTAGCTGCGACCGGGAAATTAACATACAAAGGGTATGAATACATTGTGATAGTGGTGATAGACGAATGGCAATGAAGCAGGTAAAAATAGCAGCCAAACAGCGGGGTGTACAGAGTTGTTTAAATAAGTAGACCCGGGGAGTTTTAAAAGAGAGAGAAAAAAGATATAGTTCGGAAGTGTTGGCGAAAGCTGGTCGATAGTAATTAGTGGTAGTTCAAAAACTCTCGAAGTTACGCTGGTAGTTCGTGCAGTTGGTGGAAGCAGTTACGTCTGTGGTTGGTACAGTTGGCGGAGGTAGTTACGTCGGTGGTTGGTACAGTTGGCGGAGGCAGTTACGTCGGTGGTTGGTACGGTTGGCGGAGGCAGTTACGTCGGTGGTTGGTACGGTTGGCGGAAGCAGCTACGTCGGTGGTTGGTACAGTTGGCGGAGGCAGTTACGTCGGTGGTTGGTACAGTCGGTAAAGCGGTTACGTTGGTGGTTATTAAATTCCATAGTAGTCAGGGCAAACCCTGATAACGAAACGACATGTCAATTCAGCAAACGTGAGTTGACAACGCGTTCGACAACCTACCCGTCACTTCAGCAAGCGTGAAGCGATATTACGTTCTACAAACGACGCGTCAGTTCAGCAACGTGGATTGACAACACATTCAACAAGCTGCACACCCATTCAGCAAACGTGAATTGACAGTGTGCTCAACAAACGACACGGCATTTCAGCAGCGGTGAAGTGACAACACGTTGGCAGTCAACGAGGCCTCCGCCAGAAGCTCCGAAGACAACGTGACAGCCGGTGTCCACATTCGCAGTCATCGCTACATTTCGGGAACGATTATAATTTTTATTGTTGGGAACTGTTGTTGAACCCTTACATTTGGTGCTAGAAGTGGGATATTTGTCAAAAGAAGTACGGAAGTACGACAGATATCAATAGCTGTGAAACGAAGTTCCCCAGCGTTGAGTATTAAAATAAACCAAATTTTAATAATTATTAATTTTTGAACGTGGGTGTGACGAAAATGAATCGCGATAATAAAAAATGGACCGGTCGACGAGGTTAAAAACAAATAATCAGGAAGAAGAGAGTAAATTAGACCCAGTGCAGGCACTGCAGATGAAAATAATGGAAGAAGAAGGAAAGTTGCGGATGAAGTTGGCGGAGGAAGCGAAGCAAAAAGAGGAAGAAAGAAAGTCGCGGTTGATGTTGGAGGAGAAAGAAAGAAAGTGGCGGATGAAGTTGGAGGAGGAAGACAGAAGGATCAGAAGAGAGGCAGATAGTCGGAGAATAGAACGTAAGTAAGATACAGAAGAACAACTCGGAAGAAAAATACAGCAGCAAAAGTACGCGATTGGAATCAAAGGACGAGTGGGGCCGATGATTGACATGTGCCCGTCTGACCCGCAAAGGATTGCACCATATTTCCAGCTCATTGAAGGCGTGTTTGAAAAGTTTCAAGTTGAGGACAGTCTGAAGGTTGAAATATTGCTATCCAAATTGGATGTAAAAATGAGGAACGTGATGAACGAACTAAATACTGACGAACGGTATGATTACGAGGTGTATTCAGCAAACGTGAGTTGACAACTCGTTCGACAACCTACCCGTCACTTCAGCAGGCGTGAAGCGATATTACGTTCTACAAACGACGCGTCAGTTCAGCAACGTGGATTGACAACACATTCCACAAGCATTATCATCATAATCATCAGCAAAGGTCGAAAACGACTTCAATGCCGGGCAACAACAACCAAAATGGATTTCAGAATAAAATAAGTAACAACGACACTTTTAAACACGACCATGCATTCAACAATCCAGTCAACAAACCAAATAAAATCATACAACTATATTTGAAGAACTTGCAAACCAACAACAAGAGTACAGGAGTAATGAGGGGAGAAAGTTTTGTGAACCATCGGGTGAAAAAGAATCAAGTTCGTGACAGGAAAAACAATTATGCTCGTTCAAACGATAACAACAACAATAATAATATGACAACAACATGTTCAACAACTCCAGCCATTTTGTAAATAGACACAATAAAAATAGTCGTAGACAGATGCCACTAAATAAAAACAACAACGACGACGACGACGGCAATACAAATTACAGAAATAGTTATAATAAAGTAATTATCAACAGAAAAAATCATATTAATAAAAATGAAAAAATTAATAATAACAAGAAAGCTGAAAAAATTATTGAAATATATTCAATATAAATAATAATAATAATATATTATTATTATTATTCGTAAATTTTTATAGCGCTTATTACAAACAAAATTTTTCTCAAAAGCACTGTTTAGAAAAACAGTTGAATTGCTACGATAAATCAAATCTTATAATGAAAACAAAAAGGATTTCAATAATTTCTTGAATGATTTTTTTGTTAGTTCGGGCTGTCTTAGATAACTTGGTAGACTATTCCAAACGGCTGGTCCACATACTGAGAAACTTCTCTCCGCCATTTTTAAGATGGTTTGGGGCATAGACCTTAAGCAGACAGTTTTAAAAGACAGTCGTTTCGATGCATGCATTTCTTTCAAATAAACTGGCGCCATTCCCTTCATACATTTGAACATGATTGTTGATATTTTGAACAAAATTCTTTTTTTGACCATCAACCAGTGCAGTTCTCTGAATATCGGTGTAACTGAAAACTGAAAAAATCATTGAAATATATTCAATATGAATATGAATAATATATACATAATATATAAATAATACGATAATTTTATATCGCGAAAATACTGAAGTTATTCAAATTAGTATTAGAGCCTGACATGAAAACACATCACAGCAGACCAGCACTACAATGTATGTCCATTCCGCAAATGTTATTTAAGGAATATCATGACAATAAAATATTTTCAATTATCACCTATTCCAAAATAATTTCATTTTACGCGTCCACATTTACTTAACGTTTTTAAAATAGATGATGAATATTAGCACAAAAACTAAATTATGCAAGTGATCATTTTTAAAGTTTTTTAAAACTCATACTGTTTATGGCATTGATATTAATTTGTTAGATGAAAATTAATAAACATGCAGGCAGACATGGTACACAAATTTCATCAAGTCAAACTTAACGCATAGTAACATTGGCATTTTTTGTTTCTCTTCGCTATTGTAAGTATGTCTATTCAACATGTATTAAACAAGTTTGATAATTTTATATAATCGCTTGAACACCTAAACAATGGTTTACTTTTTTAATGGAACGTATTTTGTAGCTGTCTATTATACGACGATAACTTAAATAGTAAATGTTATTAGTTGTTATAAAATATAACATCGATGTTAATTTAGTTTTACAACCTTTCGTTATGCAAAATAATTTTAATGTTTTTTTTTGTAATTTTGAAATTTTTATAAAAATGTTTGTTAGATGATTTCAAAGAACTTGTACAATACCAAATTTGTTGAATGTAATAAATGGATTGAAAAAATTATAAACACGTTGTCTCCAAATTTAATAATTAAATATGAATGAGACCTGGTGTGCTCTCAATATTTCCATCTTGAAGTGCTTCGTGTTGTTCTTGTTGCACGTACATCATACGAGATCTGACAGCTTCGGCAGCTTGGCTAGCTCTTACTTCCAACAACTGAACTCAATCGCCCAGGAGCATTTGGGAGTGGACAAATTTGAGGTTTGAGTATGTGATATAAGTCTACTCGGTTGCACGTGCATTATTATTTTGAGCAAAAGAAAAATAATTTGCGTCATGTAAATAAACGATCGACCAACCAAAGTTTTAAATATGACAAATTCTTAGTATTTTATGATTGAAAACTGAAAATTATTTAAATGGGCATTATTATTTTTCATTTGATTCTTTAAAAATTCAAAATCCGAAAGACACAGAAACGGTTGTTACAACATGCAAAGTAATAGTATGGAATGATAACGAAAAAATAAATAAATCGGAGTAAAATATTTATGCATGAGAAGCATGGAAAACGAAATAATGATTTAAAAAAAATGAATAAAATAATTATGTGACTATTTAAAGAAGCAAGTTATGTGATCAACAAGAGAAAAGAATGATAAGGAGTAGGAATGTTTAAGCTTAGTAAGCATGGAATATAAAACAGTGATTTAAAAAAACGAATGAACAGAATACTAATTAATCGACTAGCTTTTGACTTAGTAAGTAAGTTAAGAGTTTGTAAAAGAAAATGAATAGACAAAAATGAAAAAATGACAAATATTTAACGAGTGTTAATATATTTTAGGTGTCTTGTGATGAAAGCCTTTTCCTTGATAAGTTGATCGAGTGACGACTGGATAGTTGTGCTCACGGTGGCAAAGATTGAGTGTAGTAGTTATCGAAGTCTAAAATTACACTACTTCTAAAAATTCATGTTGTAGTTAACCAAGTAATCTGATTTTACATGTATTCTCATTTCCTATTTTCACCTATTTGGTGATTTCATAAACTTGTGACATTTACACACATTTCAACATTTAGGTTTTTTAAAATATTCACCGTCCTTTTTAACTTTGCTAATTTTTTGCCAATCTATTTGTAAACTTTGAGATTTAAAAAACAATTTTTTTTCTCACGCAAACCATCAATTTACCTGTTTTATTGGGTTGCATGTGCTCTTTTTTTGCAACTCATGTACATTGATGTTGGCTCCTACAAATTCTTAAAAAAGTTATTTCGTGTTTTTGTTTACCAGTTAAGCAGCATTTTTAATTTCTTTTGACTCTGGTTTATTAGAGTTTTTTGGTTTTTCATTTATCTTTTTAGTTTACTTCGTAACTTGCTAATTTTAGAATTGATGTCGATCAATTCTTACTCAGAAGATTCAACTCGAAATATTTGATTGAAATCAAATTTTTAGCAAGTATTAATAATATAAAAAAATGACTTACCGCTGTCTGTCAGGCAGAGATATTTTCTAAAATGGAACCTAATTTATGCAATGCATGAACAAGCGTTTTCAAATTTCTAATCTTTCCGTTTTATTTTTTTTAAATAAAATTAAATATTTAAAATTAATTTGTTTATTGATTCAGGATTTTTATAATTCTATTCCCACATATATTTTGCGGAAAGAAAAAAATGAAATCATTCGGAACGTGCGTTTTTTTAATAATTTTTCGACAAAAAATGTTTAAAATAATATCAATGCAAGTATTTAATGATACAAATAATGTAAATTGTAAAAGGAAACTTTAAATTTAGATAACGCAAAGATTAGAAAGCAGGCTGGATGCGAGTGTTAATGACATTGACCGAATGATTGAACTACTTGATGACAAATCGGGAGATATTCAGATTAGATTATGTCCCAGCTCATCTGCTCCCGGATACAATTTCAATATAGACTTTTTCATTGATGTGAGTAAGATTTTTAATTTTTTGCAATGTTTAAAATAAAAATAACTCAGTCAAAATTTGCAGGTTAATTTGGAAACCATGTGTTCTAATAACGTGAGATTGAATTCTGTTTCTGAAAACTTTTACAATTTTGTGAAAGATCGTTATTCAAGTAACTACTTCAGAAACAAGTGGTATTACACATCTGAAACTGGTCCAACTGTCATGTATCCAGCAATCGTTCTGCCAAGCACGTCTGATTATAGATTGAGGTTTAATATGATCAATTCAAACTTTAATTCAATTAAAAAATTCATGAAGAATGATTAATTATTATTCATACTTTATAAATGCAACAGATCGAGCTACATCAACACAATAAGTCAGAAAGCCAAACATGTGCTTCTGCTCTTTCAAAGCTCAATTTCGGTGACGCAAGTATCAGACAAAATGATCATGGTGGCAAACGTTATACTGGACTCATTAAGCTCTCGTGACAGAGTATATATATTTCATAACATCTTGTTTATTCGTGTATATATATATATATTTTTTTATTATTATTATTATTATTATTATTAAATGCATTTGTATAGCGCCTATTAAATGAAATCTCACAGGCACTCTCAAAATCCAGCAACAATAAATTAATGATTGTCAAAAGTCAACAGTTTATCCACTATGTACATTAAACAAATATACAATGCATACTTGTATAATATAAAAACAGCGGGTAAATGAAAAAAATTAAGTCAAATTAACAAATCTTAAATTTAAAGTTTGCAAATAAAACATGACAATAGTTCCATATCATCGTTTCACATCTGAACATGTCCTGACATTGACATCGGCATTTCTGGTGCTGCCACTTTTGCTGTTGTTATTGAAAACCCAATTCCTAACCTGAACATAATCAGGCCAAGAACTTGGTCTTTCAACTATTTCCGCATACTTCTCATCTTCACACAACCGGAATGAAGTAGAAGAGTGGGCTTCATCAAGTTTTATCTAGTCATCTCTCCTCTTGAATACAGGGTAGCAAGACAAAACTTTAACATAAATTGACTATATATATATATATATATATATATATATATATATATATATATATAATTGATGAAAATATGAAAATTACAGCATGTTTGGCGTTAGTTAACTTCCTTTTTAACTTTTCGATTTTTCTAACGGTTGATCGTAAACCATTCTCAAGTTTCTTGGATTCAAAACCAAAAATTGTGTTTATTTTATGCATGATAGAACAAAAAAGCTTTTTACGGTATTCCTATACCATATTCGGTGTTCGAATTGATACGTAGTGTATGTGCCCAGATGCTCAAATATACATAAAATATGTCTCTACTCTACTTTGTTGATTCCTTGTTTGTTCAAAATGAATACTATATATATATATATATATATATATATATATATATATATATATATATATATATATATATATATATATGTGTGTGTGTGTGTGTGTGTGTGTGTGTATATATTTATATATTATTATAAGAAAACTTGCATAGCGACTTATATAGAACTACCCAAAGTCGCTATCCAGCATAACCAAAGAAATATTTTGTCCATTTAAGTGATCAAACAAAAACATAAATATTTCGAAAATAAACATAAGTATACATTGTAAAAAGAACTAAAACAAAACAGATAAATCCTTTAAATATATATATATAAATGCACACATATTCTCTCGACCATACCCAATCACCCAAAGTCATGTAACCGATCACACACAATTACGCACAGAAGATACACAATAACATATAATTCAGAAAAACCAACAGATAAATAGCCAACCACCAGCACAATATTAATAAATCAATTCTAATTATTAGAAACACACGAAACACACACATCTCATAACATCCAAAACACATTCAACGTAAGCACATCCAATCATAAAACATAAAACACCCACATACATTACGTACTCGACCACTCAATTATATAATTAAAACGTAAATAAAAATAAAAACAGCATAAAACAAATGAATGTTCCGTTATCGTTAAGCTACATTCATAAACAACAAAAGCAACATGCAACATACTATTCACAACTTCAACAGGTATGTTTTCAATTCTATCCTAAACTGCAACAGTGACATCCCTGGTCGACGAATGACGCATGGACGACTGTTTCATACTTTCGTACCACATACAGCAAAGTTACGAAACCCAATCTTCAATTTTGACACCCGATCTGTCAAGTAATTCTGATTATTTGATCTCAAGACAAAATTCTGAGCAGTCATATCTTTGAGTACAAACATCTCCTTCAAATATCGTGTTGCCAAACCATTTAAACACTTGAACATTAATAAACAAATTTTAAAAACAATCATTTTTTTCAATTACCAACCAGTGCAAATCCTTAATCAATGGAGTCAGATTAGCATCAAGTGTGAAACCCAGAATTGTGGATGATCTTTCGAATTTAACAATGGCATCATCCATTTCTAGTGCATCTCGATGTAGTTTAGACATCCAAATATTTACTGCAGAAAACACATCTTTTAGTCCTTCAGTTAATCATCAAACTTTTCAACAGGAGCACATGACACTAACTGAATGTCATCTGCATACGCATAACACTCCATCTTATGATCCTCCATCATGTCAAACACATCAGCAGTATACAACAAGAAAAAAATGGTCCCAACACTGATCCCTGAGGGACGCTGGTTAATCTTATGATCTTATGATCCTCCATCATGTCAAACACATCAGCAGTATACAACAAGAAAAAAATGGTCCCAACACTGATCCCTGAGGGACGCTGGTTAACATTTTTTCTTCATCCGAATATTCATTACTAAAAAATTGTTAAATTTCTTGTCACGTAGATCGTTTAATTAATTGATATAATATTAAAATACATTAAAAGAAGAGAAATAAACTAAGCAACATTCTTGACTTGTCTATTATCAACCGGATCAGCAGAAAAGAGGAAAAAGTGGTGAAGTTACATACAAAGCAAAGAAAATTTGGTCCAAAGAAAATAAATGTATATTATAAATCATAATGTTATAATATAAAACATAAAACTTAACACCTTCTTATTTTATTTAAAACATTAGATGACCTTAACCTAAATGTTCTGAAGACCCATCGCACACATCAGATTCTTTAGTCTTGGTCCTACCATTGGTTTTGTCAAGGCATCAGCAACTTGAAGTTCTGTCGCAACTCGTTCAACTGAAACTTCTTCTTCTGCAACCTTTTCTCTGACAAAGAAATGTTTAATGTGGATGTGCTTTGTTCTTCTGTGAAGTTCTGGATTATGTGCTAAACGAATCGCTGCTTCATTGTCGACAAAAATTTCTGGCTTTTTCTTTAGATCTACAATGTCGTTCAACAATCGTTTGAGCCATATCACTTCACGAGCTGCTTCACTTGCGGCAACGATTTCTGCTTCAGTAGTTGAAATCGCAAGTGAGGGTTGACGTTGGCTAAACCAACTGATCACGCTTCCTCCAAACATACAGATTACACCTCATGTCGATCTTCCACTAGATTTATCTCCTCCATGATCTGTATCACTGTAGGCTATTAGTGTATTGTTTTGACCAGACTTGTAAACAATACCGACATCAGCTGTGCCTTGCAAATATCTGAAAATTTGCTTGACTTGTGCTACATTGGACTTGCTGGGTTTCTCTAAACTTTTGGATGCTTCTCCAACTGCATATGCAATATCTGGTCTTGTTCCCGTCATCAAGTACATCAATGCACCAACTGCTGATCTGTAAGGAAATTTCACTTTCTCGTGTTCATTTTTGTTTTCATCGAACTCCTCAGGATTTACACTGACTCATCCCAAACTTTTCAAGAATCATTCTTGTATACGATGACTGACTGACTTTAATATTTCCCTTCTCATCTTAATTAATTTCTAAAAACTTTTGAAAAAATTATTATAAACAAATTTTTACATGAAAATTTGCTTTTAAAATTGTGGTTGAATATCAAACAAGTTTGTTAATAATTATTTTTGTAATTTCATAAATACAATAAGCGCAATGTAAATTGAATAAAAAAACTTGTTAGGTAGGTCTGGTTACTTTTGCTGATGGCGTTGTTGAGCCTTGCGTGTCTGGCTCAATTGCATCACACTTGGTAATTTCTGAAATGAAAAAATATTTGTTGGATGTCAGCTACGCTAACAAAGTGATCTACGAGAAAGCTTTTGAGTACTCATTCACCCATTTTCAAGATGATTACAATGCTGAAGGTTTGTGAAATAATGTGGAAATGTTTATGATGAAACAAGATATCCAATTATTTTAATTGTTTTTAATTTTTCAAGTTAAAACAATGCTGGTTATGTCAACATGCGAAAGATTACAGGCCAATCTTTCATACATCATCCGAAACGGTGAAGCCAGAAACAGCAATCTCGTAAAAATATTTATACTTTGCTTTTCTGGTTAGCAAGTTTTTAATGATAATATAATTTGAGATAATAAATAACCCTAACAATTTTTAAGATGTGAGTGATGAAACGATGAAAACTTGGTTGAATGTCACATCACGTGACAACTGGATGGAGTCAGCTGGCGAGGGACAAGTTATACAAATTTTTAATTTTAATTTTCTAAATGTGCTAGAGATACTTACTTAGGTGCAGGCCTATTTCCTCAGTCTCGCAAAACTGATAAAGAGTGCTGGGTTAGTGCTAATCTATACATTTAGACAACAGACCATGATAGGTCTTTTTTCGAAAAATCCATGGAATTAACCAACGTAGTATGTTTGCTAACTTACATAGTCTTCTTGGTTCTAAGATGAAAAATAGTTGTCAAAATTGTAGACGGCAAAGATACGATTTTAGTGCCTTGTTCAGCATATTAAAGAGGCATCAATTTAATCATTCATTCAATCAAATATATTTAAATAGCGTACATTTCTACAATTCGATAACGATCTAGCGAAATATATTGTTTTTAACTAGTTAAATACTAATGTAAATAAATAAATAAATAAATAAATTAAAATATACACGTGTAAATATACCTACATACATGCATACATATATAAAATGAAACACACAAAACATACATAAATCATCGTCATCATCGACCGGGCTTGTTCAGCGCGACAATGTGATTGTTCCAACCATCCTTATCCATGGCTAGCTCAATTATTTCTTTAGCATCTAAAGAATTTTTGTTTTTAAAAATTGGTCGACGTAAGAGTACCGCGGTCTGCCTGTGCGGTTTGATGTTTTGGTTTAAAATTTGTAGAGTACATACCTACATGTTCACGGGCTCACTTTTCAGCATTCGGAGGATGTGACCGATAATTTGAGTTGTCGATTTCTTATCTCTTTTGATATTTTTTGATGCTATGTGAACAGGTAGAAAGCTCTGTTCGTCACGTGTACCTCCGAATGCTAGGTACCAAACATCATTCTATAGATTTTTTGAACGAAATCGTCCACTTTAGTCTTCAGTTTTTCAATAAGTGTCCATGATTCACTGTGATTGACTACCGTATAGGAGGATTGAAATGCACGCTGCGTCGAAGAGGTGTGGTCTTTTTGACATACCATATATATATATATATATATATATATATATATATATATATATATATATATATATATATATATATATATATATATAGAAGAACTAGACATAAAGAAAATTGTGCTTGATCTACCGGCTAAAACCTGTATTTTAGATGTTTTTCCGACTCATGTGCTTAAAAAACATATAGATATTTTTATTATTTTTCTCGCAAGCCTCGTTAACTTATGTTTGCAAAAGAGAGTATTTCCGAATAAATGTAAGCACGCAGTTATTACACCTGTCTTGAAGAAAACGAAAGATGATAGAAATGAAATGAAAAGTTACAGACCCATATCAAACATTTGCTTCGTTTCTATAGTTATAAAACGAGTTGTTGCCAGTCAGCTACTGAGTCATCTACACAAAAATAGCTTAATACCAGTATTTCAATTTGGATATAAACGTTATCACTCAACTGAAACAGCACTGCTTTATGTTATGTCTGAGTTGTTTAATGCATTTGATAAACAATATGTTTCGTTGTTTACATTCTTGGACATGAGTGCTGCCTTCGATTGCGTTGACCATCAAATCCTGATGAATTGCCTACAATATGATTACGGAGTTGCTGGAGTTGTAGCTAATTGGTTCAATTCGTACTTGTTTGGCAGAACTCAGCAGGTTTTTTATCGGGAACAAATTATCTGGTATTGAAGCAATGTCATCTGGTGTACCACAAGGTTCAGTCCTGAGACCTATTCTGTTTCTACTGTACACTGCTGAAGTATATGAAGTAATAGAATCCTTTGGATTTTCATATCATGCATACGCTGATGACATCCAAATAATAGTTAGCAGTGAACCAGAACTGTTTGAAAGTAAAGTTGAAAATCTCATTGAATGTTTGACTAAAATAGGTACATGGATGTCAAGAAATAGTCTCAAATTGAATCAAGATGAAACTCAATTTTTACCTGTCGGTACATGGCAAAAGCTTTCTAAAATTAATATTAATTTAGTCAAAATTGATAATAATGAAATACAATTCTGTGAAAATGCAACAAACCTAGGGTGTATTTTTGACTCGAGATTATCTTTCAAAGATCATATAAAAACTATATCTAAATCATGTTCTTATCAGCTTTGCCAGTTATACCGTGTTCGAAAATATTTACATCAAACAACCATGCTAACACTAATTCATGCGTTTGTTCATTCACGGTTAGACTACTGTAATAGCTTGTTCAATGGATTACCAGAGAGATCTATTGCTTTTCTTCAATCGATACAGAATAGAGCTGCAAAAATAACTGTTGGACGTAGAAAGTATGACCATGTGACACCCATTTTAAGAGACCTAAATTGGTTAACAGTGAAAAAAAGAATCAACTATAAGATTTGTGTGACTATGAACGGGTTGTTACCAGTATATCTAGTAAATAAAATCTTAAAAAAACCAGCTTCTTCAACAGGTGTAAAATTGAGATCAGACTATGCCAACCTACTGGTAGTGACAACTATTCAACTACAAACTGCAACTAGAACGATTGCCATGTCAGGACCAATTGCCTGGAACAGTCTTCCGCAATCGCTCAGAATGCCTGGACTAAAGCTTGATGATTTTAAGAGGAACTTACAAACATATTTATTTTGACATAGAAATACTTTATTAATTTGTACTTTATTGGCTTTCAATGATTTCTTTTATAATAGAAAGCGCTTTCGAGAAATTTCAATTTTATAATGCGCTTAATAAATTGTTGATAATAATAATAATAATAATAATAATAATATTACCCATACATACGTACATACATTGGATGAATGAATAAAAAAGAATAAATAAAAAAATATAATAAATTAACAAATAAAATCAACATATAAATAAATAACCAAATATGGAATAATTTCATAGATAAAAAAATCGATGTATTAAATAATAATAATTAAATAGTAAATAATTAAAATTTAGTGCTGCACTGCTAAAAATTCGTTAATAGCGTGTTTGATATAGTGTCATAATAAAACCGAAAAAAATTATAAATAGTTATAAATAAACATGCGCACATACAAAAATTAAGTACCTAATAACAACATAAACGTATAAATTATATTTTATTTATGCTAGTGTTTCCCAACGAAACATGTTAATTAACATATCTAATGTTAACAATTGTTTTTGAATGTTGGCGCAAGATGATAAACATTGATAATTTTTGAAGAATCCTGAAGTTATTAACATGTTTGCACGGATGAATACTGGTGCGGATGTAAGATCTATTTTGAATGAATACTTTCAAAAATACTTGGTCACAACAAGTAATGGGGGAGTTTACCACACCAATCCTTACTACGACCAAACAAGTTTAGGTAGGTTCAAATGAATAATTATTACAAAATTGGTATATTGAAGCTGATAAACATTTATTTATTAAGGGCTGATCATATCAAGATGCAAGGCTAAAAAGACTGGTTCCGACTTAAAGGGAGTGGCTTGCATCGATTTCAATGTTTATGATTTGCTTTCTGAAATTGATTTATTTGATTTATACTCAAATATGTATCCATTCTTGGTTAATTCTGATGGCAAAGTAATTCTACATCCATATCTAAATCCACCGTCCGAAAACTATCGGGATCCATTCCTTCCTGAGATATCTGATTTGGAACAAGAGGACAATGGCATGAACATTAAGGAATTGGAAAAATGTATTAGACAAATGTTAGATAATAATCAATTTAATTTGATACAGCAAAGATACAAAAATAATTGAATTATTTCATCAGTAATATTCAGTGTGAAATCGTGGCCGACGTTAAACGCGTTTATCCGAGAGGTCACTTGGCACTACATGGCATTCAGTGGGAAATTGTTTTATCCCATTTTATTTGCAAAGCGGTATATTCCATATAATTATATATTAATGAAATTTTTCTTCATAATTGGCAATGAATTTTTTGATTTACATTTAGATCAAAAGACTGTCTTTTACAGTGTGCCTAGTGTTCGACGCCAATGAAAAAACTTATGTGAAAATATCTTTACAAAATTTTCCATTTACGAATTCACTGACTTTTATGAACTCAATCAACATTTTTGATTTGACAGATAAATGCAGCCAAAGCAACAGAATTGCTCTTTACAGTATGCTTAAAAAATTTGGTATTTACCAAAAAGCAAATATCATTTAAACATTTTTCAATTTCACGTATATAGATGCAACTTCTATTGTTCTTGCGCCAAAATCTTTTACAAATCCAAATATATATCTTGGGACAAATCAATCTGATTTAGATTTCAATAACTGGAAAAATATTGTGGCAAAACTGAACGATCCACAATCGACATTCAAGGTTTTACAATCAACTTAAGTTAAATAATAATTGATAAAAAAGATCTCAAAATATCAGCCAGGTGTTGTGGAAGACATACACACGACTGGTTTTGTCGATAATTTCTGGAAATCAATGAATAATATTTCTTTCATAATCTGGAAAAATATTGCAACTAAAACAGGCGTATTCAGAAAATATCCCGGAACAATGTTATCAAAAGATTATGATGCCACAAGACGACCATGGTTGAAATTATTTTTATTACATTTAATTGTCATTTTTTATATGTAACTGTATTGGAGAATTTTTATTACCGAAAAATTAACACTACAACTCTAACTCTACATATGCAGATGGTGGAAGTTTGCTGGTAAAAAATTTACGCTGAAAGTTTTGCGCAATTTAGACTAGCATAGATATAGTTTCTTCAACTGTGCACTGTCTTTTGCCAGAACTATAAAATAGTTAAAAAGAAAGGCAAATTATGTGACAAAATAGTCTAGCACCTCATGAAGAAAATATGTTACGCCCTGGTATTCAAAGTTGGATACAGTTTTTGTGATCTTATCAGTAGGATAGAAACATCCAAGCACAGAATTATTCACGTATAAATTGGTATTTCCATGCAGAATTACACAAGATGCTGATCGAGTTTAACAAGCAATTCATCGTAAATGATGGTGCACTTAGAGCAACTTCAGTTTTTAATCAACTTTGTAAAAAAACATTTATTAAAGATAAAAACATATTTTCAATTTCACTGTCTACTATAAAACTTCTAAAATTATTTAACATTGTTTTAAAAAATTTTGGGGTCGCAGCTTTAAATGAACTGATGTTCTCAATTGTTGGATGAGTGAAAAATTATTTGAAAATTTCCTTGCTGATATGATTTTCTAGTACCTTCATGTTTCATTAATGCTCACATTTTAGATTCAACACACAATTTTAATTTTTTAATCTTTCTATAAAATTATAAAAGTCTTATACATGGTATCTGTAACTCTAACTGGAAATACTTAGCCAAAATATCACTGTTAATATACGAAACGAAATTTCCAAATCCAAAATTTTTGTAGACGACAAAAGATGTTAGTTTGATAATTTTTTTAAAAAATATTTCCAAAAAAGATATTCCAAAGGGATTTAATAGTTTCTAAAATGTTGCAACCGCAATAACCTCAATCGCAGGACATGTATGTATATATATATCGTCCGCTTGCTAGAAAAATCAAAAAATCAGTGCGCTCGTGGAATTATGTTGATAAACAAAAATTAACAACTCTAATTTGCGATTCTTTTATAAACAAACCGTGCAATTTCAAAAATGTTGCAACTCAATCGCAGCATCATTAATTAATCAATTATGTTTTAATTATGTCCAGTTAAAGCTAAAACAGTCAACAAGATTAAATTTAAACTTGAAATTTGTTTGATTTTAAATGAAACAATCTGCCCATCGTTTTACTAACTAAGCTTATTTTTTGGATAGGTTTGTTCAATCGACATCAGAGTATGGAAATTTGGTTTTCTACGGTGCTAACGTTGACTATTCCCTGTCTGGATGTTATTGTGGTCTCACCAGAGCAATTCCTGCTAGAGGGTAAAGTTGCATACTTGTTGTATTTTGTATATTGTTGCATATTGTTGCATGTTTTTAGATGTTGTATGTTGTTGGTTGCTGTTTCATCTTATACATAAGCTGTTGTTGCTGCTGCACGTTGTTGTATGTGGTTGCAGGTAGTTTTTTGTTTGTTTTTGTATGTTGTTGTTGCTGTATTATGTTGTTTGTTGTTGCATGTTGTATATTGCTGTAGCTTCGAGTATATGATAATTATGCAATTATGTACATGTCACATTGTAGCATCTTATAATACGTTACAAATTGTTATTGTTCGCAGTTGCATGTTGTTGTTTATTATTCGGTTTGTTGCTTTTGTTTTTTCCATGTCGGGGTACGTTGCTTGGTCAAACAGTGTTGTTAGGTAAGCCAGTGTAGTTGCCCGTTTATTTGCATAATGGCCTTATGTATTTTTAAAGCTTCGATCTATGTTGCGCGTTGTTGCGTGTTCTTGAATGTTCTGTACACAGACGAGTTTTTCTTATTTATCCGTACGTTTTAATACGCAAGATTTTTGATACATTGTTTTAATTTGTTGTTTTTTGTGTTTTTTAGAATAGAATAGAATAAATTTGCAGCGCAGCCTTTTGCCTCTATAATGTAAACAGTTTTTAAGAATAAATAATTTAATAATATCGAAATAGTAAAGTTGGCAGTAAGTAATGGCAACTTACTGTTCACAACTTTTGCCAAGAAAACAATCGACAAACACAAACCAAATCAAAAAACATGATAGTGACAAGTTGAATACACCTTTTACCGTGGCAACATGGAACGCTGGAACGTTGTACCAGATTGAAAAATTTGAAAACGTAGAACAAGAAATGAAAAGAATGAATCTCAGCATTCTACGTTTGAGCAAAACTTGGTGGAAAAAATCGGGTATCATTACCTTTGAAAAAGGCAAATTTATTTACTCTGGAGATGATTCACACAAACGAGGATTAGGCGTACTTTTGAACAAAGAATTGTCTGAAAATTTAGAAGGCTTTTGGGCAGTGTCAGATAAAGTTTAGTTGGTCAAAATACACGCAAAACCTTTCAACCTAGTTGTTATTCAAGTTTATGCGCCAACGTCTACAAACAGTGAAGAAGACATTGGTGCTTTTTACGGTGATATTGTCGATGCCTTTGAAACATGTAAATCTCAAGAATGTTATAATGTATGTTTATTTTTTTTTGTTTTGTATTTAGAATTTGTATTATATTAATTACTAGTAGTTAAGTACTAAAAATAAAATTTAATTGAATGCAAAAGTTGGCTTAGAAAAAAATAGATGACGTGGTTGGGGGATAGGTGAAAGAAATGAAAGAGGAGAAAAGTTGATTGAATGGTGTATCACAAATGATAAAATTATTATCAACAATCACTCGAAGAGAAAATATATTTAGAAGAGTCCCGGAGACAATGTAAGAAATATGATAGATTACATTACAATAAATAGATGGTTTCAAAATGCTGTTTTACAATGCAAAAGTTATCCTGGAGCTGATTGTGGCAGTTATCATAATCCAGTTGTTTGTAAAATCAAAATAAAGTTAAACAAATCAAGAGGGAAGTGTGCATTACAGTACTGTACAGTAATGTACTGTACAGTACAGTCTGATACAAAATAATGTAATCAAGGTCAAATCTAACGTTGATGTACGGAATCGTTTTCAGTTATTGACGGAAGACGTAAATAAATCTAAATATGAAATATTTAGTGATGTCCTCACAGAATTAGCAGGGAAATTACACCTGTGAAGAAGCAAAGACGAGGTCACAAATGGGTAGCAGATGACATCGTATCTATGATGGATGAACAAAGAAAAGTAAAAGGTTACAATCCTGATAATTACAAAAAACTGTACAAAACAATCAAAAAATGTGGTTAGAAACAACAGAGAAATGGTTAAATGACAAGTGCGAATTCATTGAAAAAAGATCAAAAACAGTAATACAAATGCAATGTTTAAAAACGTCAAAGAAATCACTGAGAAAAAAGGGTTTGTACTGTTTTTGGATGCATCCGGTGAAGTAAAAGTACTGAAAGATAGACTGAACACATTAATAATCTTTTTGATGATATCCGTGGTAAAAAGCCTCCTATTAAAAAAGACGTAAAAAGACCATCCAAAATGGAATCAAATGAAGCGTCAGGTCCAAATGAGATAATTGTTTAAGAAATTAAATGCTTTGATAAATTTGGCATTGAAAATGTAACAGAAATTTTGAATGAAATTTATAACAGCGGCGAAATTCCTGAAAATCTGTCCAAGTCAATATTTGTTGCATTGCCTAAAAAACCTAATGCAACGGAATGTGAACTACATCGAAAAATCAGCTTGATGAGTCATCTTACAAAACTTCTTTTGAGAATTCTGATGATCTTGACTCTTCCACTGGCTACCTATAAAATATAGAATAATTTTTAATATTTGCTCATTAATGTTTAAGTCTCAAATATATATATATATATATATATATATATATATATATATATATATATATATATATATATATATATATATATATATATATACATTGTTCATAAATATAATATCAAGATCAATCTAATAAATTTGTTTTATAGAATCGCTATATTTGTTGAAAAGTGAGTTTAAGTTAAACTAAACAATCAGTTTTTAACCTGTTGTTTAGCGATTATTGTCTTAGTTGCTTTTTTTGGTCAATTTATTGACATTTAATTAAATAACTTGTTTAAAGTTTAATAATGATATACAATAGTAAGACGTTTGATTGTAAAAAAAATAAATAAAACATCAATTACTACGAAGAAATTTTTAATGTTTACGCGCCAAATTATGTTCTATTAATTCCATAGAACTAAGAAAAATTATTAGACAGGTAATAATTTTTATGCCATATCCATTATATCCATGGTTGAACATCGCGGAAATAGCTCTTTATATACTTATTGATTGATTGATTGTTGTTATATATCATTACAAATCGTTACGTTTTGTTGTTTGTCTGTGTGGTTTAATCTTCACAAATACAAATTAATTTTTTTAAAACTTTAAAATAAATTAGCCAGAACAAAAAACAAAGGAGACAGATTTATGCAGCTTTCAACATGGACGTGGCAATTACCTACATGGAATTCATCTTAAGAAAGATCTTTACCGATTGCAATAAATCTGGGTGAGTTGATATGGATCAATTTATATATATATATAAATACTCAATATATATTATATATGTATGTAGTTTATGTAACTAAATATAGATCATAAGGTACCTATATATATCGTAAAATTTATTGAGTTCAAAACCCAAATTTTTATTTATTTTAAGCATGATAAAACAGAAAAGCTTTTTTAGATATTCCTATACAATCTTCGGTGTTTGAATTGATATGTTGTGTATGTGGCCAAATGCTCAAATATGAATATACTGTATCGCTACAATGTTATTACTTTTTTTAAAGTGAATTATTTTTAATTAATAACTTTATACTAATACATTACGATTTAATTAGTTATTACAATCTTAAACTTTGTGCAATATGACACTTTTACGTGTCATTATCGATGATTCCTCTGTTTCTAAACTTCTCTCTCGTGATGAAAAACTACTGCACTGGTAAGCCAGAATCGATAATGGATCATAGCCATTTAAAATATTCGTTCAAATGTAATATTGGTGAGCGTGGGCACCATAATTCTGAATATATTGATATGACGACGATCAAGCATCAAAAAGTCTCACGATATACATGAGAGAAACGCTGAATGTTAAAATCTGATATTATAACAACCATTATTATTTACGATTGCCTAAATCAATACTCAAAACAAAGACATCCAATATTAAATATTCAACTACGTGAAATTGGAGTTCTTTCCACTAATAAATTTAAAAACATAGAAATCATCGATAATAACGACAGGTAAAAATGTCATATTGCGCTCAAATATGACGGCTTTAGGTGATGCTTTGCTCAATATTTTAGCCAAGTTACCAGCTGAGTTCCAACAACTGCTGATGGTTGAAGTGTTTATAAGCATAGATTGGTTTTTGTCTGATGTTTCACAGATATTAATTTATACTTTGAAACTGAAAAAGTTATTAAAACTAAAATAAAAGTTTTGTGATTGATTTTTTATTATTAATGCTACACTTGTAGTTAAACTAATCTAAAATACAGTTTGAGTTTAATATAAAAAGTTAGTTTTGTTCTCATCATTACTTTTGTATTGTTAACTTCATATTTTCAACTTTATGTCACAAAAATTATAATTTGTTTTTCAATTTCGTACAATAAAATTTTGTCACAAAAACATTTGTATATAGTAATGAATATTTAACTTGGCATGATGTTTTTAAATAATGTGTGTGATGAATTTAATTAAATTGCAATTTGCTGTTTTCCCCGAATCATTTAGCTTTCCAATGTATATTAATTAATAAAATAAACTAATGAAGAATAAAATAAAAATTTCAGTTTTTTACTTATCTTTATTACCTGGTTAGATTTGTTTTTAAATATATTCACTCATCAACGATTAAAAGATATTTTTCAACATTTCTGAAAAATTCTCATTCCAATTTATTTTATTAACTCAAATTGAAGAAACACATGCACGGTGATGAACAGAAGCGGATTTGTTGTGTTAAGAATCAATGCAAGCCACAGTCTTACGTTTTGCCCCGTCAACCAAATCAACCAAACTAATGATAACAACATGCACATCAACTGCGAGGAACCTGGATTGGCCAACACTCTTATTGAGAAAAATATTTTAAAAGCTCAGTTTTGTGTCAACTATGATGACCAAAACCATAACATCACCAAGTTTTGGAATGTAAGCAGTAACGTCATATTATATTTTATTGAAATTATGTAACGTTTTTTCAATGTTCCAAGTTTAGTAGTTCATATTTTGAATGCACTTACACACCGTGTGTTTACCTATACGTTTAATGAGTACAATACTTGAGATTGTTTGCAATTGAACCTGGCTACGTTCAACAGTTCCTCTGGCTATCTGACAGTTTCTCCGTCATTTACAGTCTGGGCCTCGTCGCCATCTACCCAGTCTAACAACCTAATAAGTTTATATAACTTTTGAAAAACTTTAAAAAATTTATTAAATTCGTTGAAAATTCAGTAAAATTATTCAAACTTCATGACAGGTTTCAATGGATAGTGACATTAACATTTTTGAAAATTTCCAAATCCATCAAATCCCCAACATGAATATTTTTGTAATAGTCAAAAATGGGTCATTCAGTACAGAAGCAAGATGTGACTGCGGGGAAAAAAATTTTGTAAGTAATTAAATTATTTGATCAAATCATCCCATTTTTAATTTGCATATATATTTTTGCATACTCGAAGTGTTCTTATTTGAAAATTCTTTTTATTACTTTTTTAAAAAATACAACAAATATAACTTGAAGCCAAAGTTTCGTGCTGTGATGATACGATTGGTCCATCTGTTACTGTTAAATACTATAAATGAGTCTAAATGGTTGGATGGTGATTGGTATTCAAACCATATTTAATTGTAAGGGACAGATTAACAAAAAGTTGACAAGAGGCAAAATTTTAAAATTTGACGTGAGAGCCAAAAACTGCCAAAGTTTTTCTTATGTAGCCAAAACTGTGCTGGTGACTTTTCTCTTTACCGCGCAAATTTATGATAAATTTTCTAGTGAAAACGGTTTTTTCGTTTGTAAAAACTCCATTTTAGTGAATTTAAGTAAAAATACTGATCACAATAAAGAATCCCGCTTCATGAATTGGTCAGTGTTAATTGATGTTGGTTAAATGTTGAATTTTTAACTTCATTTGATTAATTGTTTTAGAGTTTGTTGGTCAAACGATCCTAAATAAGTTGGCAGCTGAAGGTAGTACTGAATCTGATTTGTATTGAGAAACAGTGATCAAAAAGTATTTAACAAATATGTTCAGCTTAAATTTAATACGAAGAAATGAATTTTGATTGTACAATTGGTGGATTTCTTTTCATGAATCAGATATGGTAGTCTAAATCTTTACGTAGTGACTTATCTTGCTTTGAAAACTTTATCACAAATATATATGTATATTTGAAAAATATCAACAACATGAGCCGACATGTTTTCAAGAAACGTTTGAAACATCATTTGTTTTGACACTCTCGAGTGAACCTATCTCTTCTGAAGTTATTCAATAGGGGCACCCCACAAATCCTTAGATACAGATATATATATATATATATATACATATATATATATATATATATATATATATATATATATTTTGGTAACAGACTGTTGTTAACGCAACATTTCAAAAATTCAACACGACTTTTTCAACATTGTTCAACTTTTTTATATTTCCTTTTAGTTTATTAATGTCAGAAAAATTAGACATTTTATTGTTTTAAAAATTTTATTAAATAAATTTGCAGATAGGTATTTCGAGTTATAGATAACTCATCTTCAGTGCATTATAAATAATGTATGTAAGATATTTGA